TCAGTTGATCGCCTTCAATGGACTGACGACACTCGCACCGCCTTCTACAATGCTCAGGCTTTCCTCTCTAAAGCTTGTACAGTCACTTTACCTCGCCCAGATGACCAGTTATGGATCGTCACAGACGGAGCTGTCAAGAATCATGGCATTGGTGCAACCATATATGTCACACGCCATGGTACGCTGCTCCTTGCCGGCTTTTTCAGTGCCAAACTCCGTGGGCAATTGCTGCTGCCACTAAGCACTTCAGCCCATACATCATTCAGTCTACACACAAAACATCCATCCTCACTGACAGCAAACCCTGTGTTCAAGCTTTTGAGAAGTTATGCCGTGGGGAATTTTCCTCCAGCCCCCGAGTATCTACATTTCTGTCGACTGTCAGCCGCTTTCAAGCCACAGTCTGCCATCTCGCAGGGTCAGCGAATATCCCATCAGACTTTGCCAGTCGAAATGCCCCAGAGTGCACTGACTCTGCTTGCCAAATCTGCTCGTTCGTGAAGCATACAGAGGACTCCGTCGTTCCGCGCATCTCTACACAGGACATTGTCACTGGCAAGGTGAAGCTGCCATTTACCAGTCGATCAGCCTGGGCAAACTTGCAGGCAGAGTGCCCAGATTTGCGCCGTACGCATGCCCATCTTCTGCAAGGCACTCGTCCCTCCAAAAAGGTCACCAATGCCAAAGATGTAAAACGGTACCGCAACGTCGCCACCATCGCTAAAGATGGGCTCCTGATTGTTCGCAGAGATGAGCCACTTGCTCCCACACGGGAGTGCATTGTAGTCCCACGACAGGTCTTGGATGGCCTCCTCACTGCCCTCATATCCAGCTCAACCATACATCATGCCACCAACTCAAGTGCGTTGTCCATCGCTACTTCTACGCCCTCGACATGGACAAGTCCATTGAGAAAATCTCAAATAGTTGCCTCCAATGCCCTGCTCTCAGCAATGCCCCCACTACCGTAAAGCCTCAAACCACCGAAGACCCACCAGATGCTGTTGGAATATCCTTCGCGGCTGACGTTATCAAACGAAGTCGTCAGCTCATTCTTGTTGTACGTGAGAGTGTCACATCTTTTACAGCCACATGCTTCATAGAGGATGAACGACACACCGCCCTTCGGGAAGCACTTATTACCCTTTGTGTTGAGTTAAGCCCACTTGACGGACCCCCAGCTGTGATCCGAACTGACCCAGCACCAGGCTTCAAGTCCCTTGTGACTGATGAGCTCCTGCAGTAGCACAGGTTGACCATAGAAATTGGCCACATCAAGAATATCAACAAGAATCCAGTCGCTGAAAAAGCTGTACGAGAGCTGGAAGACGAGCTCTTGCGCCAAGATCCCATGGGTGGCGCCGTATCACCGCTGACTCTTGCATTAGCCACAGCTTGCCTAAATTCCCGCATATGCTCCGAGGTCTTTCCGCTCGCGAGATGTGGCATCAACGGGATCAGTTCACAAACAACCAGATTCCCATCACCGACCGGCAGTTGATTTTTGACCAGCACGACCTTTGCAACGCTAATCATCCCCACAGTAAAAAGGCGAAGACACCATCAGGCAGAATTGCATCTGACACTGTTGTCGCCATTGGGGACTTCAGTGTATCTCCATGGTGACCGCAACAAAACAAAAGGACGAAACTGCTACCTTGTGACAGCAGTTGATGGGTTTTGGTTCAGTGTCCGTAAATTCATCGGGAACCAACTCCGGAGCACATCCTACCATGTTAAACGCTCAGAGTGTTTCAAGGTACCTTCCCACTCTGATATCGATTCACCTTTTCCATCAGAACGGCCCGATCTTCATGACAGTGCTGATGAAGCAGACGCTGACATAGCACCAGCTCCACCCACACCACCTGCCATACCAATCATACTCTCGACACCTGCTAAGCAAGCTACTGGATCCACCTCTCTGGTAGCTGAGCATGCACCACAAGTAGCAGAGGTACCTATTCACGTGTCGCCTACTCCACAGCCCACGATTCCTACAAACAGCCCTGGAGACATTAACATCTCTTGCCCCCGCTCGCCCGCAAGACGCTCATCCCGCCTACGCAAACCACCCGCATACATGTACCTTGATGACTACTTGACTGATTATTGACACTGATCCATGACTGTGTGAACACTGTGTGTTTAGGACAAGATATATAATGCCTTCCTATGGAGTGGCACATTTGGGGCAGAATAATCCTCAGGGCTGGAGGGCAGTCTACCCCTATGAAGGCCCATTTTTTTCTTCTTTATGTAGCATTAGATTCCATTTTGTTATTATATGTTTAGCTTTGTTTCTTGTTTTGATTGAGCGCAGCAACATAAAGCCATATTTTTCGTTCTCCTGATATATTTTACTGTAAGAGGGACTCATCGTTTCAGCTCTTTGCCTTGTTTCAAAAGAGAAAAAAAAGAGGTCACGCCAGTAGTAGTGATTACGCCCTCTTGCGTTCGTGACCTTCGACCTTTTGTCTTGGTTCTATCATTTATCACTCAATGTGTGTTCTCGCCTTTGTTCATTAAAGTCTCCCATTATATCCGATAAGTCGATTACAGTTGCAGTTATTGTGTGTGTTGGATTGAACTCTTGTCCTTACTGGCAATGATCCATTTTCTTCAAAGGGTGGTGCAAACCGTATTACCGGGGACAATAATACAGAGTGAGTCTCGACGACGAGGATGAAATATAATATGTATTCGTATGCAGGGCCCTAATAGAAACCAGTTTTTAACTGTTGGGGTATCCCATGTGTAAAGAAATGTAATAAATAAATACAAATAATGCCAAAAGTAATTTGTGACTGCAGAAATCATACATTAATTGAAAGCTGATGTACCAGCCTTTAAGATGGACCACTTTAACATTGCTCAAATTCATCACTTTCACATAAGGCCAAAAACAAAAAGTCTCTGGTTTCTGATATGCCCTCGTGTCGCCGTAGCGATGCATGTCGGCAAAATTTGAAAGTTTTTTTTTAATGTATGATGATGTCTCAAAACCGCCAAACTCGCTGGTTTGACTGGAACCCTGCTCCTGCACAATTTTAACGTGATTTTAGAGGGGTTACGATTGAGTATAAGCTTTATGTGGCCTCTCTGGGCTCCCATATATTTTGCACTAGATTTAGTCGGGCACCATTTGCACACGGTATTGTAATTTTGTTATTGTGCGTCTGGAAGCCAGAGTGACGGAGCGATGATCATGTATCTGGAACCTTTATACCCTTTTTAATTAGCGCAATATGTAAGGGAGCAGACTAATGACCAGCCTAGCAGCTCATGCAAGATGTCGATGTCGCTGTATGGTCTGACGTTACAGGTTTTTTCCTGTTTTTTGTCTTGACTATCGAAATTTCCCGAAGAATGTTCATGTCGGTCGAGATCGTAAAAGTGGGTGCAGGCTTCTCAAGCCTCATGGCCTTACTGAGGTCACCTCTGAAGTATATTTTTGAGAGTTTTAAGGGGATCGAAGTGTCATCAGCCGGCATTTGAGGGGACAAAAATGGGGAAAAAAAAAAACCTGTGTTGCCGCACCACTTTTTGGGCAAGCTTCATACCAGAAACCGGAGACCTTTTTTTGTTAAGCCTTATCAATTATTTCTGGATTAACTTTTGTTTGATACATCCTGGATTTGCATACATTTAAAAATACAAAAAAAAGTGTATGTCTAAATTTGACAAATGTGGAAATGTATGAGAGGGTACATGTAAGACAGTCACAATCGACTCATTACTATGTGTGTCGGTAGAAAGGGTTTGTTGGGTCAGTCTCTTGGGAAAAAACGCATTGAACAGCGTCCCCCATTGGAAGATGGGGTCCAGCCCCCCCCCCCCCCCCCCCCCCCCCCCCCCCCCCCCCCCACTATTTGATTTAACAGAGGGCGGTTGTCCGGTGAAAAAAAACAGCCTGTCTACCTTTCAGCACAGATGAAATTTGTGGGCGCCCCTCCATGTAACCTCAAGCCCCCCACCCCCACATTCCCCCCTAGGATGAGAGCCCTGGCTACGCCGCTGCTTATATGTAACAAGCATTGTGGCGTGTTTAGCATGTGTTTCGCCACACCTGTACAACCAAGTCATTTTCTGTATAGGCTCCTTCCGTCAACATAGATAGTTCAGATGATGTACAGACGCATGGATTATGGATTGTGGATTTATCATATACCCCCATGGCCGACACAGGTTGTACCCTGCAAGTATGCTGCGGTGAGTGTTTGTTTATAACTTGGAAAACACAACGTGCACAATACCCATAAACCTAATAAAAATGACTTTAAAATAATTCTTCAAATAGACAATCGTACTCGTTTCAATCTGATCAACGCAAAATTCATTTTTGCCATCTATCGCTGCTTTCTGCTGTCGAGCATTCGGAAATCCAATTACTTTTTGTATCGATCGGATTAACTTCGTAACAATACTAGTGCGCTGACTTGGCACGCGCCCTCTCCCGTCTATTGTTGGGGGATTATATAACACCACAGCTGTTCGTTCACAGGGACTAACGTATGAAACTCATATTCGGGCTAAGATCCAAATGTACCATAAAATATATATTTTTCCATACCTTATGCAATCTTTCCCACAGAATAGGTCAAACTGTACCCGGTCCCTTACCCACACTTATTCCCTATTCATCTCATCCATACAATAGGGCAAACTGTGCCAAAAATTCCCACATCCCTTAATTAATATTTATATCTACATATTTCCATATTTACATATTTATGTGACCTTTACATATTTCTATGCCCAAGGTCAAATTGTGTCAGACAGACTACTTAAACTACTGAGAACAATAATTATTGTCCGACATGTTCAGAGTGTTGATTCCGAATTCCGAACCCACACCTTACTTAAGATTCGTCGTTCTGAATCCACACTTTGTGACCAGTGTTACAGATTCGTAGTTCCGAATCCACACTTTTAACAATAGTGTGACGTCATAGCAATGGTTTAAGTTGTCTTAAATGCAAGGAGTAACTTGTACTTACCTGTCTGTCAGAGGAGTAATGACCAACCGGCCAGAGTTCCCAAGGTACTCGTAACCATACTGAAACTGCGTGTTGGTTTGGCGGACCACACAATCTTCAATCTCTTTATCCCAGTAAACCCTTAGCTGACTCAGCCACTCAAATGCTGTCACATCACTAACACCAGACTTGGTTAGCTTTTCAATGACATCACGTGCATGCACTTCGATAGTTACCAAGGCAACTACCTTGGCTCTCATCATCTTGGTAAGGTTACCTCGAACCAGCTCAGAAAACTTGTTCAACATTGATATCTGCGAAAGAAATTAATATAATGTGACAAGTCAATGTATGACTACCCAATGTGTAATTGTAAATACTTAAATGAATTTCTCCTTGAATTATTTATTAAAAGTACATCTACAGGGCGTCTTGAAAAAAATGGTGCATGTAAACCCCTCCATTTTTGCTAATCTACAACCAAAATTTTCTGCGGATGTTTACACCATCTTCAAGGTAATAGATTTAGCTTGAGAATACTGTTCATTTCATTGAGATTGCTTTAGTAAATCCAAAGATATGTTTGAATAACGGCAAAGCCAAGAAACCCATTTTGTGCCACTTTCTGTGAAGCAGTTAAAATCAGTATAGTCCTACTATGCAATATTTATTTATATTTAATTGAACTCTTTCATTGAAGTTTTAAAGAAGTGAACCTGTCTGTACTATTAAATTGTTTCAACATAAGAACAAACCCTATATTGTCGTGTGAATGGAATGTTTGTCTTACACCCATGGGGATAATCTTATCAAAAGAGCCATACTGGCATTGTCTGATCTTTGAAGCACTCGCTTCCTAAAAGTGGCACAGAATGTTTTTTAAGCTGTTTCGGTGTACACACCGAAACAGCTCTTGTTTTCGTTGAGATTTTTTTTGGCTTTTCCGCAAAGTTGCGGAAAAGCCTTTGTTTTTGTTCTGATTTTTGAAGCCTTTGTTTTTGTTCTGATTTTTTTTCTTACTTCTTGTTCTTGTTCTTCTATCACAAATCCCATTGACTTTGCACATGTTTCATTCTGGACCCCACTTTTGACAGTGAACATACTTCAATCTTAATGAAACTTGGCACAGAGTCAGAACCCACAGTGAACTCCTGCATGGAAAAGTGACTTCATCATGACGTCATCATGGGCCACGTGACGTCATCTTAAATGTGCAAACTCTAGGACCCTATATCTAAAGAACTATAGGCCGGATTGGGTTGAAACTTGGTATGTTGGTAGACCAGGATGTGTCATAGATAAAAATTGAGGTGACATCATCATGACGTCAATGTGTGATTTTATATCAATTTTTGAAATTTCGGACCTTTAAGCCATATCTCATGAACGCAATATGCTAAATTCAAAATTCTTTTTGTATTAGGTTTGTTTAGCAATAGGTATATGCACAAAATTTTGAAAAATGTGTGACGTCATGATGATGTCATCAAAAATGCGATTTTGTAAAACACATATAAGGGAATGTCCGATCGTACTAAAACTTGGTGGGTGGGTAGATAATTGTACCAGTGCATAAAATCTGAAATGACGTCACAATGACGTCATCGACAGATTTTTAACGATTTTTTAAAATATTTACAATTTTATTTTGATTACAAAGTTTAACACTTTTATTCATCTGAGTCGCTTCAAACTTGGTACATACTAAATCCACAAAACAATAATGAGCACCGCCAAGTATTGTTTTAATGACATCAATGGGTCATGTGACGTCATCATAAAAGTTCATATTTCAAAGCCCAATATCTACAGCACGGTAAGTCTGATTGGGTTGAAACTCGGTATGTAGGAAGACCGGATGTGTTAAAGGTACAAATTGAAATGACGTCATAATGACGTCATCATGCGATTTTGTAAGATTTCATGAATTGTTGGACCTTTAAGCCATATCTCACAAACGCAACATGCAAAATTCAAAACTTTTTTGTATTTAGTTTGTTATTTTTTATTATTTTTTTTTGTTATTTTAAGTATATACACACAATTTTGAAAAGAATGTGATGTCATCATGACGTCATCAAAAATGCGATATTTGAAAACACATATAAACATAACATCAACAACAATCACCATCAACCAATCAACAATCAAAATCAACTGTCAAAATTAACAATCAACACCAACAGTCATCAACAATCATTAATCAACATCAACAATCAACTATTAACAATCAACAATTAATAATCATCAATCGACATCAAAATCATCATCAACAATCAAAATCAATAACCAACATCAACAATCAACATCAAAAATCAACATCAATAATCAATATCAACAATCAACGTCAACAATCATCAACAACATCAACATAAAAAAATCGATAAAAAAAATCAACATCAACATTCAACAACAACAACAACAACAACGTCAACAACCAGCATCAACTACTCATCCATCAACAATCAACAATCAACATCAACAATCATCATCAACAATCAACATCAATAACCAACATCAACAATCACCATCAAGAAACATCATCAACAATCAACATCAATAATCAACATCAACATCAACATCACCATCAACTAATCATCAATCAACATCAACATCAACATCAACAATCAACAATCAAAATCAACAATTAACATCAACAATCATCATCAACAATCATCATCAACAATCAACATCAATAACCAACATCAACAATCAACATCAAGAAAAATCATCAACAATCGACATATCAACAATCAACAATCAACGTCAACAATCATCAACAACATCAACATAAAAAAATCGATAAAAAAAATCAACATCAACATTCAACAACAACAACAACAACAACGTCAACAACCAGCATCAACTACTCATCCATCAACAATCAACAATCAACATCAACAATCATCATCAACAATCAACATCAATAACCAACATCAACAATCACCATCAAGAAACATCATCAACAATCAACATCAATAATCAACATCAACATCAACATCACCATCAACTAATCATCAATCAACATCAACATCAACATCAACAATCAACAATCAAAATCAACAATTAACATCAACAATCATCATCAACAATCATCATCAACAATCAACATCAATAACCAACATCAACAATCAACATCAAGAAAAATCATCAACAATCGACATATCAACAATCAACAATCAACATCAACAATCAACAATCAACAATCAACATCAACATCAAACAATCAACATCAACAATCAACAATCAACAATTGCAAAAAAGCCATATGTTCTGTTGATTGAACAGACATAAACTACTAGTTTTTGGCTTTTCCGCATAGTAGGGAAAAAGCCTTTCTTTTTGTTCTCATTTTTGGCTTTTTTGCGAAATTTGCGAAAAAAGCCTTTCTTTTTGTTCTGATTTTTTTGGGGCTTTTTCGCAATTTTGCGAAAAAGCCTTTGTTTTTGTTCTCATTTTTTTTTTTTGGGGGGGGGGGGCTTTTTCGCAAAATTTGCGAAAATCCTTTGTTTTTGTTCTGATAAGCTTTTCCACAAAGTGCAGAAAAGCCTTTTTTTTGTTCTCATTTTTGGGGGGGGCTTTTTTGCAATTTTGCGAAAAAGCCTTTCTTTTTGTTCTGATTTTTTTTTTTGGCTTTTTCGCAATTTTATAAAAAAAATCATAAGGCCAAAAAGCCCTATGTTACGTATTTAAAGGTGCAGTTTTTCTGCAGTGGGATTTTCCACAAGTCTTTTCCCATACAACACTGATATCTTACTGAGTAGTTCTGAACTTCAGCCGAGAATTACTATGAGAAGGAAAGAGAAATCATATTTTTTTCGCGCTGTCATTCGATTGAACATATTCCTAAGGGTCAGAATATCAAGTAACATTTCATAAAAATGTTTCAGTTCAAAGGCGAATTACAAATTTAAAGGTGCAATTTTTATGCAGTGGGATTTTTTTTAGCCCGTTAACTTTGTACACGTGTTAGCCCATTGACTTTGTACACGTTTTCAAGCCACCATTTCTATAACTTGGCGATCTGGAATCGTCATCAATGTTACAGCCAAGGAAGACCCTCATACAAAAATTATGCCAAGACTATGACGTCATGATGACGTCATCACCTAATTTTTTTTATTGATTTTTGCAAATTTACGTGCATATTATGAAGTCCTATATCTACAGAACTGTAAGTCTGATTGGGTTGAAACTTGGTATGTGGCTAGACCGGGATGTGCTATAGGTAAAAAAAAATTAGGTGACGCCATGATGACGTCATCCGGAGATTTTATATGAATATTTGAAGTTTTTGACCTTTTAGCCATATCTCATGAACGTAACATGCAAAATTCAAAATTCTTTGTGTATTTGGTCTGTTAGGTAAAAGGTATTTGCACACAATTTTGAAAGAAATATTTGACATCATTATGACGTCATAAAAATGCATTTTTCAAAATACATATAAGGAAAGGTCTGACTGTCATGAAACTAGTATACACAGTTTACAGTGACGTCACGATGACGTCATCGTTTGGTTTTTATAATTTTTAGATATTTATATTTTTATTCTGCTTCCACAAATTGCACACTTTCTTTCATTGGATTGACATTAAACTTGGTTCAAACCAAAACCACAATGACAAAATGTGCATTGAGAAGGGTCTTAAGGATGACGTCATTGCAGGGCAAGTGACATCATTTGATAAAATTATACTTTAGGAATTATTCTAAGCGTTTTGAACAACCTTTAACTGCATGAAGCACTCTGAAAAGTGACTGCAAAAGGACAAACGAAACAAATATTTGTAAAATGCGAAAAAGCCCTGTGTTCTGTTTGCAAACAGACATACAGCTCTAGTTGTTCTTTCTTCTTCTTTTTATTCCCTGACATAATCCCTTAGACATCGTACCGTCTTTTCCACCCCTCACTTTTGCCATTCATCTTTGCCATACATCATTCAAAGTCAGCATAGGCTTAGTCCTTATAGCAAGGATGTGTCCCGAAGAGTGACGTCATCATGACGTCATCATGGGTCACGTGAAGTCATCATTCATGTGCATATTACAAAGTCCTATATCTACAGAACTGTCCAACCGATTGGATTGATACTTGGTATGTAGGTAGACCGGGATGTGTTATAAATGAACATTTAGGTGATGTCATGATGACG